AATAGATTGCTCAATAGTTAAAGTATTCGGCCCTTTAAGTATAATTCATGCTCCACTACCAGTCAATTTGATGATCCATCGACATGTAGGCTCCACATATCCAAGCTGGTATTTTCTAGATAGTGAACTCATTGACAAAATCTGCCAGCACATGAGCTTTAAGGGGGCGTCAGTTTTCAAAATGAATATCGAATTGGGACAACTCGATCGTCCAGGCTACTAACCGACCGGCTAGCTTTGGTTTCCTTAGAATTTTGGCCATTGGGCAATCGGTTCGCACCACCACTCGATGACTTTGGAAGTAATGTCTTAACCATCAAGCTGTATGGATTAAGGCTAACACCACCTTTTCCATTAGCTGATATCGGGATTCGGGACCTTGGAGTGTCCGACTGATGAAGTAGATAGGGACCAATTCAGGCATTTTTTGTAATAAGACCGAGCTGATGGCGTTTTCTAATACGGCCAAGTAAATAATTATATCTTTTTTGGGCTTCAGTTTTGTTAACACAGACGGTGTTGCTAATATATTTTTATATTGGATGAAGGCCGCTTCACATTCGTCAGTCCAGACAAACTTTTGGAATTTTTTAAGCAAGTCAATGAATGACCGAGACCTGTCTGCCATAATGGGTAAAAATCTGGCAAGGGCAGCAATACGACCGACAAGTCTTTGGACCTCCTTAACATTCTGAGGACTGGTAATTTCGATGATAGCTTGGCATTTGTCAGGGTTCACTTGAATTCCCCTCTCAGATAACATAAACCTTAGAAACTTGCCGCCGACTACCTCAAATGTACACTTTCAGGGTTAAACCGCATCCTATATTTCCTAGCTTTCCCGAATACCTCCTTTAGATGAGCGAGATATTGTTCCAAGGCATTAGATTTAACCACCATATTATCTACGTAGACTTCCATGCATTTTTTCACTTGTTTTTCAAAAATTTATTTATCAATCTTTGATACGTCGCCCCTGCATTTTTCAGGCCAAATAGCATTACCCGGTAACAGAAATTTGCCAAATCTATGATAAATGCCATTTTTTCTTCATCTGGAGGATACATTCGGATCTGATTATACCCCGAGTACAAGTCCAAAAAACTAAGTACCTTATGATCGGCTGCACCATCCACCAAGATATCGATGTTTGGAAGGGGGTACGCATCTTTTGAACACGCCTTGTTAAGGTTGGTGAAGTCCGTACACATCCGACATTTTCCGTTCGCCTTTTTAACCATTACTACGTTAGCCAGCCAAGTGGAATATCTGACCTCTCGAATAAAACCGGCCTGTAGCAACTTATCAGTTTCCTCTTTCATTGCCTTTGCTCTGTCTCTACCAATCTTCCTCTTCTTCTGTGCTATCAGTTTGGCCCCCTTATAGACCGATAGGTGATGATAGAGGAACGCAGGGTCAATGCTAGGCATATCAGAGGTCGACCAGGCAAACAAATCAGCATTACGTTACAGTATTCCCTAAAAGTCTCGCCTCTCTTGTACAAACAAACCGACCCCCAGATAAGTAACCTGTTCAGGCTTCGGTCCAAGTTGAAAAGGCTGCTTATTTTCATTGGGTTCAACTCGACATCTCTCATCAACCCTAGGATCCAATTCAATTTCCAAGTCCTCTCTAGACCGAGGGGATACAATATTGACATCTCGTCTATAGTCTTGGAGTGGTTTGAGGCGTAGGCTTGCAAAATAACATTCCCTTGCTGTTTTTTGGTCAGCATGGACGGTGACAATTCGACCCCTTTCTGACAGAAATTTCATAGCCAAGTGAGGAGTAGACACTGTGGCCTTCAGCTTGTTAAGGGATGGTCTACCGAGTAGGATATTATATGAGGTATTCGCGTGTACTACCAGATAAGTGACCTTGATATGCTTTCCCTCGTGCTCTGACCCGAATGAGGTGTACAAGTCAACACATCCCCAGGTCTCTACTCGTTCTCCAGAGAAACTGACCAGTGGTCTGTTATATTCTCTGAGTTCTTCCTCTGGTATGCCTAGTTGCTTGAACGTATTTCAGTATAAGATATCAGCCGAGCTCCCTTGATCAATTAGTATTTTCTGGACGGTGCAATTAAGAATGTCTACACTAATAACCATTGGATCATCTTATACCGGGTCCACTCCTTGAAAGTCATCATCTGTGAATGTGATAGGTAGGATTTGGATTCTACTGTCCAATGAAACGTTATTAACAGAGCGGACATGCCTGAGATGTCTCTTTCTAGCCGAATGAGTGGGTCCTCTGCCTGTAAACCTATCGACTATGGTGTTGATCAGCCTCTTCAGGTATTTTTCTCTTTTGTCATATCGTTTTACAGGAGGTTCTTGTGACCGGCTCCACTGTCGTTCGGGTTGCCTATCTTCGTACCTCCTTGAGAATTGGGAGTATCGATCCCTCCCCCTTTCAGCATAACTGGTGGGGTTTGTTTGGACAAATCCTCTAAAGTGCCCATCTTTGATCAAATCTTCAATTTTATCTTTTAGGGTCGTGCACTCCTCTGTCGTATGACCCTATTGCGATGATATCGACATTATTTGCTCTTATCTGTCCGAGGGGGTGTGTTGGCACGTCTGGGCATACTCAAGATTTCTGTTGCTAAGGCTTGATCAAGTATCCTAGATCTGTTAGTGTTGAGTGTGGTGTAAGAGGGGTATTTAGGCCCCCTGGACAGCCTTTCAGGCTCATTCCCTTTATTTTCTTGCCGGGGTCTGAAAGTTTCTCTTTTGTCTACATTTTTTGAATTGGACCCCTGGTCCATCCGAATTTGATTTTGGTACTCAACTAATTCCTCCATCTACATGTATTTTGCAGCCCGACTCCTCAGTTCAACTAAGTCAGCTGGCGGTTTTTTGCAAATGCTATTAACGAAAGGTCTGGGCTTAAGACCCATTGTAAGGTGGTGCCTGGCCACGGCAGGCTCTAAATTATGGATGAAAAGGGTTACTTTGCCGAATCGTTCCATGAAAGCTCGAAGCAATTCTCCTTTTTCTTGACAAATATTGACAAGTGCCAGGGATGTCAAGGGGTGAGGTCGGCTTGTGGCAAACTGCAAATTAAACCGTCTTGTGAGGGTCGTGAAGGAGTCAATAGATAAGGGGGGAAGTCGGGTGATCCAAGTGAGAGCTGGTCCTTTTAGTGAAGTGGGAAAAATCCTACACCATAAGGCGTCATTCTCTGTATACAGGCCGACCTGGGTTGTGAAAATATCCAAATGTTCCTCGAGATCGGTTGTGCCATCATATTTTTCTATTGTTAGGCCTCTCCAGTTGTCAGGTAGTTTAGCATCCAAGATATGGTGAGTAAACGGGCTTCAGCTCACTACATCATCTCGGTCATTCTTGATTTTAAATTGCTGAATTAGTCTTAGTTTCTCTTATAACGTTGAGGATTCCCCCTGATCTTGGGCGAGAGGTGTAGTTTGGGAAGGGATGTGTGTTCTTATTTTTTCTCTTAGGTGGACATTTTCCCTTATCAATACCGACAGCTCCAGGGCATCTTTTTCCCTTTCCTTTTTCATCTCCATCATTTCTGTTTTGAGCTGCATTAACACTGCTAAAAGGCCCTCGTCGATTCCTCCTTCCACCAGAACCTCAGGTATCGATTGGGTAGGTGTGATGTCTTCTTGCTGTTGCTGAAAAGTTCCCCCTGCTGAACATGTCCATCCTGTTGGCTTCTTGTTAGTACCATATTGATCGAAAAAGCAAGGCAATCGTGTCTTACGGTGGGCGCTAAAATGTTCCTGTTAGGAAAACACTAGTCTTCAAGTCTCTGCTCTGAAATGATGACGTCCTTCTGACTGTCGCTGACGTGGGAAGGGTACCTACAAAAGGCACTTTGATGCTAAAGTCATGATTCAGTTTTGAGCAATAAATGCTATTTAATAATGAAAAGTCAACCCTTTACTTGTACTTCCTACCTTCCTTTTATAGGCCTTATTATGAGCTAATGGGCCTGCTGAGTCAGCCTTGATTTTGGCCCTTTGCTTTAAAGTAAATAATGCCTTGATTATTACTCTTAATTAGGTTAATTACCTTCTAATCCTGATAAAAGGTATTCGGCCAAAATGAGTCGAATAGGTATCCGGTTTCCTTTTTCTATATGTAGGACCAAACAGCTCCCTATCCTGTACAGGTGAAAATAAGAGAGTGTTGTATTAAAGTGCACATTATTTGTTTAAGCTATATATTATAAAAAATTAAAGAGAGATGTAAAATCTATTATAAATATAGTGATTTAATACACGTTTTTTCGTCACAATCATTCTAATCTTTTAGATGACTGGAGATTTAGATAATTGTATATCATGAAAGTGTTTATAATTTTTTTTATAAAATTGTATGTGAGAAAGTTTTTAATTTTATCCAATTAAAAATTATAAGTAATGAAATGATTTTATTGTGAGTTTATAGATATGTAAGAGGTATTGAACTATATTAAATTTGTAATTTTTTTTTCTTTATTATTTGAGTGATCATAGAATGGAAGTAGAAAGTTATTATAAACATGATGATTTAATATAAGTTATTTTAATCACACGCATTTTAATCTTTTGGATATATTGCAAACTTAAGTATTTGTGTGTAAGACAAAAATTTATAATTTTGTCTATGTAAAATTTGTATGTAAAAATTTATTTCTTCTATGCATAGGTGACGAGATAGTAATAAAGAATTCATCAAGAGAGATTAGTGGGTCCACTTTGAGAGAAACCAACTAAAAAACAAGGTATATATACTTTGTGGGATGCATATGTTATGTTCCTCGATCATGGTTTGTGGATCTTACCTATGTATGAACACTGAAAGGTAGTTTCATGTCACACCTTAAGTGAATGTTAGGTATGTCATCTAAAAGGGAAGCCACCTACTCTTTGGGTGAGTGTATTTAAGGTGATAACGACAACTAATCTTCTAAGCTAGTCTCAATATTTGGTTTCGAAGACAAGCTAATTCTAACTTTCTACTTTCCTTGTTTTCCAATTCAACATGAAGATTCTCTGTCTCTGGTTTTCACTAGCATGGACTCTTGCTCTCCTACCTTCTTCCTTCACTTCTGCATCTACTATGGAATACACTTTTAATGTACTTCCTTAAGCCTGTATGCTTGTAGCTTAGTTTGTTTAGAAAATAAAAATATGATCCATTTTTATTTAATTCAAGAAACAATAAAGATGTTTTTTTTTCAAAATAAAAATTAATTTCTTTTTCTTTAAATTTTTATTTAATATAAATTTAAATTTTATCTCTCTTTTTTCATTTCCCTATTCTCAAACAAATTGAAGTTAGATGCTCTTTGGGAGTTGAATGTTTCTAATTCATGGACGGTACTTAATTAAATATAAAAAAATGTTAAATTTAAACTTTAGGGGCTGACTTTAAAGAATTAATAGTTTTAAGACGATAAATGTGTTTCTTTTAATAAAAACTTATTACTTTTATATGTTTAACTTCAACAATAATATTGAGGTTAACAAAAATTCCGAAATATATGCATATATCCTGAATTTTATGAATTAATTGCAGGTTGAAAACATGAAAATAAAACGCTTGTGCAAGGAGCAAGTCATAGTTGCAGTTAATGGAAGTTTGCCTGGACCAACCATAGATGTAAGGGAAGGTGACACTGTGATCGTCCACGTACTCAACCAGTCGCCCTACAATATCACCGTTCACTGGTAAACACTCTAAAGATTTTGATAAATCATTTTGAAATGAAAATTTTTAAATATTTTCTTTTCAACGTCTATATTCTTAATATTAACTAAAAAAATTAAATATTTTTTTATGTTTTTAAGATAATAAATGTATATACTTTTTTTTTCATGATTTTGTTAATCATTGTTAAAAGTAGAAATTTTTTATTAAAAAATTATTTTAATTTCAAATATATAAAAATTTATAATTTTAATGTGCTTAAACCCTGTTAAACGTTGAGCTGAAAATAAACCTTTTATACCATCATATAAGAAAAATATTAAAACAAAATACAAAAAATACATAACAAAGCTCTTTTGAAATCTTTAGTCAACAGCTGCATGCATGATGTTAATTTTGCAAGCCACTTTTAGAATTAGAAGGCATGACGAATAGTAAAGTTCATTTGATAAAGGACCCACTTGTTAGAATTAGATATAATTTGTCGGTGAATGGAATGGCATTAGTTCTTAAAAAAAATTAACTAAAAGTATAGTAATTAAAAATGACAAATTTTATTAAAAATAAAAGTATTTATCAATTTTAAAATAAAAATATAACTAATGCTATATTTTTAATAAAAAAATATTATTTTTAAATGATTATACTTTAGATTTAAAGCTAACAAAACTCTTAATCTTTATTAGATGAATGATTTAGTTTGAACTGCATATGTATGTAGGCATGGAGTGTTCCAGCGTTATAGTGCTTGGGCAGATGGTACCGAATATATAACTCAATGCCCAATTCGTCCGAGCCATCGTTACAGCTATAAATTCAACGTTACAGGACAAGAAGGAACATTGTGGTGGCATGCTCATGCATTCGACTTACAAGCCACCGTTTATGGTGCTTTCATCATTCGTCCTCGATTCGGTCATTTTTTTCCGTTTCCTCAACCCTACGGTGAAGTTCCGATATTATTAGGTATTAATTTAATTAGTATAATGCTATATATATTTCTTATATATCTTTTAATTATTTTGTTTAATGAAAAAATTTATATTTAAGTATTTAACATATAACAATGCAAACCTTTAAAGATGCAACAAGACCTTTGTTCATAGACAGTATATATCCATTGCCGAAGAGGAAAATGCAAAAATGTTATATGTATTTTAAAATGTAGAATTTGTCACATAAAATTGTGTGTTTGCATGCATTTCAAAGATATAAAATGGTGACTTTGCATCATAATCACGATTTCTTGTGCTTAGTGGCAAATGAAAAACTTTGCAGTTAGTCGTGATTATAACTGCAAAATTAAGTTGTAAAATGAACAATAAATTTATGTCTAAATTGTTTTTAATGCTCGTGGGTTTATTAAAAATAAACAAGTCTATTATATTATATTGTAAGTTAAGTCCAAAACTTCGAAAAGAAATTGCAAGAAATTATAAATTATATTTAAAGCTTCGCTAAATTGAAAATCTTAAAACATAATTACCCCAAATACATTTTTTTTTATAAAAAAAAATACCCCATAGAGTTGGGAATCTTACATTTTTAATGACCAAAGTACGAAACTTAATCTTATTTCACACACAAGAGCGATTTACTACAAAATTTGTTCTAAAATTATCATAGAAATCATAAGTGACAGTAAGAAAATAAAGAGTTCCGTTATTTCATATGTATATATATTATTTTTTTCTTTACATGCATGTCAAAAATTGATCGTCACAAAAAAAAAAAAAAATTTGTTGTTTCAATCCTTTTATTCAAAATAATTTTCCTAATGGAAACAAAAATCATCATTGAAAAAATGCATAGAAAGTACATTATAGAAATGACTCCACTCCCTTCCGAGAAATTCATAAATCCAATTGAATATATACTATAATTTCCAAATATACCGGACATGGTAATTCGTTATTCTTCAAATATCGATCAATCTAAACCTTTTTTGTTTTAAATTTCAGTATTTACTAATTTATAATCAATATGTAAATTACATTTACATAAATAAATCGCAAGATTTTCCTTGACAATTAGAAAACTATATAATTTTATTTTTTTTTAAATGCAGGTGACTGGTTTAATAGTAATGTCGTGGATATGGAAATAGAGGCATTGGACGAGGGCCATGGCTCAAACACATCCGTTGCTTACACCATCAATGGCTTACCTGGCGATTTCTACAATTGTTCCCAAAACCGTACGTTACTTCCGTGAGTTCATATCCATAAAATTACGGTTATAATCCATATGCAGGCGTGAGTGAATATGTTAATAAATATATGCACTCTTAACTTCTAAACACTCATGCTCTAAATGTGTATAATAATGAATATTTTTATCATTATAATTCAGAGACCTTCAAGACTAATGTGAAGCAAGGAAGGACATATTTATTACGAATGGTGAATGCTGCTATAGACAACCATCTTTTCTTCAAGCTAGCAAAGCATACCTTCACAGTTGTTGCCGTTGATGCTTCATATACCGAACCTTATGTCACAGACATCATAGTCCTTGCCCCAGGCCAAAGTGCTGATGTCCTTTTCACGGCAAACCAATCTGGGGGTTATTACTACATGGTTGCCGCACCTTACAGTGTTGGTGTGCCATTGTTTGATAACACAACAACTCGTGGCATTGTCATTTACGATAATGCAACATCATTACAACCTGTGATGCCAACCCTACCGGCTAACAATGACACAGCCACGGCTTTCAAGTTCTACAGTAATATCACAAGCCTAGTGGGGGCCCCACATTGGGTCCCTGTCCCACTTAATGTGGATGAGCACATGTTGATTACAATTGGATTGGGCCTCGAGGTTTGTCCCGTGAATCACTCATGTTCAGGCCCAAATAAAGAAAAATTCTCTGCAAGCATGAATAATCAATCCTTTGTGATCCCTCAAGGTAGAGGGTTCTCTATGTTGGAAGCATTTTTTTACAATTTGAGTGGGGTTTACACTGCTAATTTCTCTGATTACCCTCCAACAATGCTTGATTTCACGAATGAAAGTCTTAGTAATGATGATAAACTTTTCTACGCATCAAAATCAACTAGGGCAAAGAAACTCAAGTTTAATTCCACGGTGGAGATTGTGTTTCAAAATACAGCCTTTATTGATGAGATAAACCATCCCATGCATCTTCATGGTCATAGTTTCCACGTTTTGGCTCAAGGATTTGGGGATTTTAATTACACTAGTGATCGAGCCAAGTACAATTTAATTAATCCTCAATTTCGCAACACAATTGGTGTGCCAGCGGGAGGATGGGCAGTCATCAGATTCCGAGCAAATAATCCAGGTATATTGTTTCTAATTAGTTACATTCAATTTGAGATGGAAGAAATTTATATGAATCTGAACAACGTTCTTTGCATTAGTTTTAATTACAGCTGATAAATACGATTGATATAATACACTAAAATGTCTTGATCATTTTTATGTCTTTTGCAGGGGTATGGTTTACGCATTGCCATGTGGATGATCATATGCAATGGGGACTGGACATGGCGTTTGAGGTTGAGAATGGACCAACTCCTTCAACTTCACTTCCGCCACCACCTACTGATCTGCCAAAATGTGAGCCAAGAGGCATAGCACACAAATGCAGCTTTGAAACCAACAATGCTATCTGTTTTCTTTAAGAGATCTTTAGTTGCATTATATCTCTCTGTAGTATCTCAAGTTAATTTAATAATTACATGTAGACCTCTGTTTTACTCACTTTTAAATATTAAGTTGACTAATTTCCAAGTATATATTTTGATTAGCTCTCTTTATGTCTTTCCTCTGCTTATTATATGACTATGAAATCGTGATACAAATAAATTATGCTTAGAGAAATGTGTGTTAGGTTACACTTTCCCTTAATATATATTCTATCAGAATATAGAGTTACGTGTGGAGTAATGATTCATTACAAACTTATATCATTTAATAAACTTTTATAAAAGGTAAAATTTATCACTCTAACTAATAATTTAAAACTTTTCATCACATAAATCAAGTGCATAGATTTTTTTATAAAATTAAAATTAATAAATACTTCATAACATTACTTTATTTTAACATATGATATGATTAAAATATTAATAATGATAAACTATTCAATGATATAATTACAAATATTTAAATTATATGAAATTTAATATATATTATTATAAAAAAAATATTACATAATAATTTAACAGGTGGGTTAAGTGTATATATAATAATTACCTATGTCAAGTAGCTAAACAAATAAAGTATAAAATAAAGAGTTAAAAAAATACAGTACAATGGAGAGATGCCAAAATCTGGGGGAAAAAGGAAAAGAAAAGAAAAATAATGTCAATATCAGCAAAAAATTATGAAGTAGAGGAACACCTCTTTCTTCATATGTAAAACATTTTCAAACTAGAAATATGCTCATCTACTTTTGTTTTGTTTTTCTTTCAGTTTTTTTTTTATATATTACAGATATGTATATTTTGCAACATTTTCTACCAACCACAGTACATGGATATTAAATCTTTCTTAATAAGAACAAAATTTAACTTATTTTACCATACCATCTATTGCAAGATAAAAATCAGATTATATACGCCCACATATATTAACTAAAAAGCTTAACTTATCATAACCTTGCTAAGGAAAATTTGTAATACAATAAACAAAACCAACAATAAAGAAAGAAAATCTCAACCAAAATCATTCAATGAAAGGCGAAATCAAATTAAAAAGAAAATAAAAAAAAATTAACAAATAAAGCAAATACATTTTTATACAGTAAGAGATGCCAAAATCTGAAAAAAAAAAATGTTAACATAAGTAAAAATCAATGAAATGGATAAAAGGAGAAAGAAAGTACCTCGATCTTACTATTAGTCTTTTTGCTTCACCAACTTTGTATCCCAACGTAGCAATGGTAACTTGCCCATTGTCTCCCAAGATGGCATCTCCAAGTTCGTCTCTGCTCTATCTCTAAGGTGTTACAATAAGCTTCAATGAAAGTGTAGCTAGCATGGTGGGGTGATGAAAACTCACTGATACCTTCATTAGATTTAGAAGAACCATCACCTACAAAAGAATTTTATCTGAGGAAGGAGGAAAGGAGAAAAAGGTGTGGAGAGAGAATGAGAATGATGAAATTGTTTGAGGAAGGAAGCATGGGATTGAAGTCAGTCGATAAGAATTTTGTTTTTAATTTTATCTACCTTTTTCTATCCTCTCTACCCGAACAAATTCATTATTTTGTTGGCCATCAAGGATTTAGATCGGCAGGTTTAATGGGAATTTGTTAGAATATAGAAGAAATGAATAGTCATATTTTAAATTTGAAATTGTGAAATAAACATTAAAAATGTTTAAATTTTAAATTTGAAAATTAAAGTTTAAAGTTGATGTTTTTTTAAATTTTAAGTACACTTCATTTATAGTAATAAAATATATTTAATAAAAACATCAATTTAACTGATAAGAGAAAGATAAAATTAATTCTTTTTAAAAATTAAAGTAAATTAATAAGAAATTAATTGGCTGTTGAAATATGTGAATTTAAAAAAAAAGAATTAAGAATGAAAATAAAGTCGATCGTACAATAAAAATAACTTAACCTTTTGAAAGTTTAGATTAATTTGAATTATTTAAGTAAGAGACTTAATTTAAAATTTTAAAAATAGTTAATTAATTGAATAAATTAAATTTAAGTTTAAAAAAAATATATTAAGTCTAATAGAATGATTTATTTAAGACTTATACATTGTTTCAAGAACTAAACTGTAAACTCACAATGACTTGTTTGCAACTTCCTAAATACTTATTTTTAACAGACTTAACAAAATTCATTAACTAACTATTGATTTTAAATTACAATCATCTAACACAATCTCCTAATTCAAAGTGTCAAAATTTACAACTCAAATCATCTCTCTAAGTCTACAGAACCTTTCACCTCTCAATCTTTTGGTGAGTATGTTTGCTTCTTGTACTAGGTTGATCTTTCCTTTCTCAACTTGATCCCTGAGGTAGTGGTATTTGTTTCTATATGTTTAGTCCTTCTGTGTGAAACAGGATTCCTAGCCAAATAGATTGCTGACATGTTATCAACATTCAACTGCACAACACCATCCAGTTTAATCTTTAGTTCCTAGAGCAAAAATTCTAACCAAGTTGCTTGACAAGCTATTGAGACTGCAGGCCAAGTACTTTGACTCATGTAAAATCTTGCTTGATTGAACTCCAACAAATAGTTGATCTGAGAAGGTTGAAGAGAAAACCACTTGTGCTCTTGCTGTCTTCATCGTTTCCACTCCAATCAGCATCAGAGTAGCCTACCAGCTTTATTGTACTACCACTATTCTACTTGAAAATTTTAAACCATAGCTCATAGTTCCCTTCACATACCTTAGAATCTTCTTTGCTACAATCATATGAGAAGTTCTTGGATCACTCATATACCTGCTAATAATGCCAACTCCATATACTATATCAGGTCTACTATGACAAAGATACCTCACACTTCCTACCATCTGCTTGTACAATGTAGAATCTACTGATCTCTCATCCTTACATGGTCCCAATTTCAATCTAAACTCGAAAGGACTATTTGTTATGTTGCATTCTACCATTATGAACCTTTTAAGCATTTATGAGGCATACTTCTTTTGATGTAAAATCATATCTATTCCTTTGTGAATGACCTCTATTCCTAGGAAATAGGACATGATTCCAAGGTCAGTCATGTCAAATTCCTACATTAGTTGCTTTTTAAAATTTATGATTTCTTCCTTATTGCTTCCTATGATTATCAAGGAATAGAATAATTAAATATTTCTCTTCTTTCTTGACATACACTCTATGCTCTACTTTACATATTCTAAAGTCTAGTTGCTACAAGAAAGCGTCTATCCTCCTGTTCCAAGCTCTTGGAGCTTGTTTTAAGTCATACAAGGCTCTATTCAGTTTGTATACCATGTTTTTCTTTTCTTTAATCTCAAATCCTGATAGCTGCAACAAATATACTTTCTCTTCTAATCTGCCATTGAAGAATGCAAATTTTTCATCTAATTGTCACATACTCTAGTTCTTGACATATGCTAGAGCCATCACAACTCTAACTGTCTCAATTCTAGCTACTAGTGCAAACAATTCATTGTAGTCCAAGTCTTCTTTCTACATGAATCCTCTCACCACCAATCTGGCCTTATGCTTTTGTTATAAATCCTTCTGGCTTCTTCATCACTTTAAACACCCATTTGACTTCAATAGCTTTCTTCTTTGGAGACAAATTCACCAACTCCTAGGTATGGTTTCTTTCAATAGTAGCTAGTTCTTCCAATATTGCATCCTTCCACATCTTTTCTTTTAAAGCTTCTTTATGGTTGACTGGTTCAACATCCACAAAGAGTGCATAATAAACCAAATCACTGTCCTTAGTTACTGCATCATCTAAATACACTTTATATCTACTTAGCCTTGTTGAATGCCTTGTATTTCTCTAAGATCTACCTACGATGTTGACTTTATTTCCTGATGCTGAAGGTGTCACTTCTTCAGTATCTCCAATATTCTAGTTATCAAAGTCATGATAAATCCATACTTGATCACTGTTATCAGCTACTTTCTCTAATTATACACTATTTGCTCATAAAAAACATCTCTGCTGATCACAACCTTTCTTTCTATTGGATCAAACAGTTTGTATGCACCAGTAGGATGATAACTTACCATTACCATCTCAATACTCTTATGGTCTAGCTTCTTTCTTCTTTCATCTAGGATATGCTTCCAGCATGGTGAACCAAATGCCCTTAGATGTTTTACATGAGGCTTTCTTCGTATCAAAGCCTATTTAGGGGTCATCTTGTGTAGCCTTTTAGTTGGTGATCTGTTCAGTATGTAAGCTGTTGTCACAACAGCTTCTTTTTATAACTCATTGGGTAACCTTTTACATTTCAACATACTTCTAGTCATGTTTAGAAGTGTTCTATTTCTTTATTCTACTAAATCACTGTGTTGTGGAGTGTAGGGAGCTATGACCTCATGCTTGATTCCATTTACCTCACAGAATTCTTCAAATTATTTTGAATTAAACTCTCCACCACCGTCTGTTTTGAGCACCTTAATATTCTTGCTATTTTGCCTTTTAACCTGTACTTTAAACTTCTAAAATAGGCCAAACACCTCATTTTTTCTTTCATTAGCTTTAGCCATATCATCCTAATATACTCATCCACAAAAATGACAAAGTAGCTATTTCCACCTAATGTGCATGGTTCTATTAGTCCACATATATAAAAATAGATTACTTCTAGTGGACTACTAACTCTACTAAAACATATGTTCTTAAAAGAGTTTCTAGGTTGTTTGCCCAACAAGCAACCTTCACACAATCCTGATAGAAACTTAATTAAGGGCATTCCATTTACCATACCATCAACAACAAGTTTCTTCAAACTATTAAGGTTAAGATGCCCATACCTAAATGTCATAGCCAATTCTCAGTACTTTCACATTTAGCTATCATGCACTGCATCTCAGTTACATGAAAGTTGATTTTGAATGTCCTATTGTTGGACATTAGTGCCTTGAGTATTGAATTCTACTTCTCACCATACACTTTCATCACACCATGCTCTATTCTGATCGAGTATCCCTTCTGCAA